TGTGGTATGTTGGAACATCTTTTGTGTATATGCCCAGGGTGGTATAGCTGGGTCTTGAGGTAGATCTATTTTTAATTTTCTGAGAATCTGCCAAATTCATTTCCAAAGTGACTGTATGAGTTTGTACCCCCACCAGCAATGGAAGAGTGCTCCCTTTGCTCCACATCTTTGCCAGCATGACATGTCATTTGAGGTTTTTGATCTTGGCCATTCTGACAGGTGTAAGATGGGAATCTCAGAGTCATTTTGATGACTAAGGATGTTGAACATTTCTTTAAGTGCTAATAGAGATTACTCTGTTAAGAATTCTCTGTTTATATCTGTATACCATTTTTTAATTAGGTTGTTTGGTTTGTTGGTGTTGAATTTCTTATATTTTTTAATACATTTTGGATATTAGCCCTCTGTTGGATGTAGGGGTTGGTGAGATGTTTTCTCATTCTGTGGGCTGCCATTTTGACCTATTGTCAGTATCTTTTGCCCTACAGAAGATTTTTTCAGTTTCCTCAGTGTCTGTTGTGATGTCCTCCTTTTCGTTTCTTATATTTTGATTGGGAGCCTAGCCTTTAATGGCTGAGCCGTCTCTCCATCCCTCTTTTCACTTCTGATTTTGTTAATTTGGATATTCTTTTTTCATCTTGTAGTTAGTTTGGAGAAGGGTTTGTTGATATTGTTGATTTCTTCAAATAACCAACTTTTTGTTCCATTGATTCTTTGTGTTGTTCTCTTTGTTTCTAATTTATTGATTTCAGCCCTGAGTTGATTATTTCCTGACATGTACTCATCTTGGGTGTGTTCATTTCTTTTGGTTCTAGAACTTTCAGGTGTGCTGTTAAGTTGCTAGTATGGGATCTCACTCATTTCCTTATGAAAGCACCTAGTGCTATGAACTTTCTCTTTAGCACTGCTTTCATTGTGTCCCATAAATTTGGGTATGTTGTTCATTCATTTCCATTGACTTATAGAAAGTTGTTAGTTTCTTTATTTTTTTTCCTTGACCCCAATGGTCATTAAATGGAGTGTTGTTCACTTTCCATGAGTTTGTAGGCTTTCTGTTGTTTCTGTTGTTATTGAAGTCAAGCTTTAATCTACAGTGGTCTGATAAAATGTATGGAGTTATTTCAGTTTTCTTGTATCTGTTGAGACTTTCTTTGTGACCCAGTATATGTTCAGATTTTGTGAAGATTCCGTGAGGTACTGAGAAGAAGGTATATTCTTTTTTGTTTGGGTGAAATGTTCTGTAGATATCTATTAGGTCCATTTGAGTCATAACATCTGTAAGTTCCATTATTTCTTTGCTTCATTTCTGTCTGGATGACCTGTTCATTGGTGAGAGTAGGGTGTTGAAGTCTCCCAGTATTAGTGTGTGGAGTTTGATGTGTGATTTAAGCTTTTACAAATGTAGGTGCCCTTGTATTGGGGGCATAGATGCTCAGAATTGAGATGTTCTCTTGGTGGATTTTTTTCTTTGATGAGTGTAAAGTGTCCTTCCCAACCTCTCTTGATGGATTTTGCTTTAAAGTCTATTTTGTTAGATATTAGAATGGCTACACCAGCTTGCTCTTTGGATTGACTTACTTTACTCTGAAGTAATGTCTGTTTTTGATGTTGAGGAGAGTGTCTTGCATGCAGCAGAATGATAGATCCTGTTTTTGCATCCATTCTGGAATTCTGGTGAGTCTTCAGGTCTAGTAAGGTGTCCCCCTCACGTTTTTGTGGCCTGCAAGACTTCTGGGGTTTTGGATGTCAATGTTGCTCTGGGCTTCCTAGAACCAGTGTGGCCTTTGGGAAAATAAAGGTCTTCTGGGGTCCCTGGTAGCAGTGTGGCCTCTGGGTGTCTCACCAGCTTTTTAAAATGCTCTAGCCCCCTCACTCATCCCCTCCCAATCCTACCCTCTCTCCCTCTTTTCCTCACATCTCCCTCCCCAAGTCCACTGACAGGAAAGGTCCTCTTCCCCTTCCATCTGACCCTAGCCTATCAGGTCTCATCAGGCCTGGCTACATTATCTTCCTCTGTGACCTGGTAAGGTTGTCCCCACCCTCTTGGGAGGTGATCAAAGAGCCAGCCACTTAAGAAGCTTGCATGTCAACCTTGCAGTTGGCCCTCCCTTTGTGCCCCAGGTCTCTTCAGCATTATTATTCATTCTTTTCATTTATTCTTATACATTTTTCATTCATCAAGTACTTTTTGATGATATGATTTGTTTATTTTTGTTTGTTTTTTCATGAACATATTACTTGAAGTATAACTTATACTTAAGATTTGTTAACAGTAATACCAAGGCTAGAAGTAATGTTCAGATTATTGATACCATGTTAATGACTTCCAAATTAATTAAGTCCAAAGAGAGTTTTTGAATGTTCAGGATATTAGACACTGGACCAGTGTCTAACAAATCAACATAATTCCTATTCTTTGGAAAGCTTCTGGGTTTTGAGGGTGGTGATAGTTTGTATGAAAATGGCCCCCACAGACTCATAGGGAGTGGCATTATTGGAGATGTGGTCTTGTTGGACTAGGTGTGGCCTGGGTTGGAGGAAGGGTGTCATTAAGGGTGTGCTTTGGGGTTTCAAATGTTCAAGCCAGGACCAGTATCACTCTCTCTTCCTTCTGCTTGCTAATCCAGACATAGACTTCTCATTTGTTCTCTCCAGTCCCATGTCTGCCTGCATGCTACCTTGCTCCCTGTCATGACAAAAATGGACTAGACCTTTAAACTGTAAGCCAGCCTCAATTAAATGTTGCCTTATAAAAGTTTCTGTGGTTATGATGTCTCTTCATAGTAACTGTATACTGATTAAGATAGAAGAGAGGTAATTTGGAAATAAACACATAGATAAATGTGCATTTATAATTAAGATATAGTATTGAAAGAAAAAAATCAGATGATAAAGGAAATAAGAATCTTTGTTCAAGGCCAGTCTTATCTACATAGAGAATTCTAGGATAATCATAGTAAGACCTTGTCTCAAAAATTAGTTTTAATTGGGCTTAAAATCCCGGAAGGGTAGAGTTTATGATGGCAGAGTGAGGGCACAGAATCAGGCACCTGGAGCAGCAGCTGAGAGATCGTCACATCTTGATCTGTGAACAGGAAGCAGAGAGAAGGCACACTGGGAATGGCGTCAGTCTGTTCAAACTCTAAAACTTGTCCCTAGAGGCACATCTCCTCCAGATAAACCACACCTGCAGTCCCACCAACCGAGGACCATCCTCATCTGGCCTATGGCGAACTGGGTGCTTGGAGGTGCCAACAGAATTCGTGCAGGGTGTGCTCAGGGATGCCTCTCAGGCAGGACCACACCCTGTCCATCTTTTAGGTCATACTCCGCTGCCAACTATGAATGTCCAAGCCCGTAAACATTTGAATTCTAAAATTGGGCTTTATCTTAAGTTTGAACTTTATCAACTTAAGTTAAATACATAAGTTTGTCTACCTTTGCTTGTACAGAGACTGGTAAATTTAAAGACAAAGAAGACAATGATGTCTGCTGGGACCTCAAAATGACACACTCAAAAAGGAAGCCTCTATCTCCCTTTTCCCCCACTTTCAGACTCTTTCTCACCATGACCCACACTTAGATCCTGGCATGACCTCAGCTTCAACATCTCCGGGACCAAGAGCAGCTCTCCATCTTTCCCAGAATTAATTACACTATTTTAAACACTAAATACTAATAATTGGAGCAACAGTGGCCTCCAAAATGTTTTCACTTGTTTGATATTATCCAAGGCCTCGAGTAGAGAAGACCATATTGGTATGAGAGGAAAAGAAATAAATTTTACCTGTGATTGAGGCTCTAAGCCCATTGGAAGAGCAAGGCCCAACATGCTTTTTAAACAAGATGACTCATAAGTAACACTGCATTGCCTAACTATGCCTTCTTCTAGCATTAACCAAGTTATCATGCCAAGTTCAGCTACTTCAGCAGCTGAAGGAACGCATGTGATGTTAGCATGTTAACATATTCAACTCATGTCATCAAAGGGGAGATTGGTAGCAGGGTGTTATAGATGCTAAGGGATGTATTTACCAAGTTCATTGTATTATTCTTTATGCTTTTGGGTATATCTAGAAAGTTCAATATTAAAATGTTTTCTCTTATAAATAGTCTTTCTATCATGATTTAACATTTCCCACTTCTTCTACAAAATGCTTTTCTGTTCTAATGAGAAATAGGATACTTCCCATTCACTTGTCTCTGATAACTGCTCTGGCAACAGACTATATGGTGGAGTTGAACAAAAGTTAAAAACTGTGAAGTGTGAGAACTCAGTATACCTACCCTGAACGCCACTATTTCATTTTCATAAACAGTTTCCAAATTAAATTTCTCCGAACCAGGAAGTAAAAACCAAATAGACTGACAACAGAGCAGAGTGCACAACTAAGGGAAGCTGGAAGGTAAAGCTCACTTTCTCCTCACGACCCTGCTCACCCCAAATTCCCCAAAGACAAGCCTGCATCAATCAACGTAAACTAAGCCACGTTGCTGGAAGAAGTGGGGTTTTGATTTTGTTTTTTGTTTTTCATTTTTTGTTTTGCTTTTTTAGACACAACAGAAAATCCTCTTGGAAGGATCTCTTAGAAATTTCTAGTTTAGGTCCTTTCTTTCTATACTGACTCAAGGGACAGATACATAATCCAAAGGAAGAAATCCAAAGAAGATGACCTTAATGGTCCCAATGGGAAAGATGTAGGATCCAGCATCAGACAGTATCAGACAGCATCCCTGCCCAAAAGTTTGGTAGCTACTGACTTATGAACCTGGTACCTCAGTTTCCACATCCACAAGATGATGATAGCTTAGGTTAATATTGGAGTTAAGTAGGAAGACATATAGAAAATGTTTATCACTATATATAGTGTTCTAGAAGGACTCAATGGAGGACTTAGGGTTTTGTGAATCACATTATCCCTGTCTTAATATGATCCACATAGGCCCACTTTCCATTCTGTCTAAATCCCTTGTCTAAGAAAAAAAAAGTTACAAACATGTGACTCTAAATCAATTTTATTTTGCCTTTGTACTAGAAAAACATTAGCCTACATATCTGATCCATTAGTAAAATTATAACTTAAAGGAATAAATGGCACATTGAAAAGTTAGATTATTTCTTGTTTTCCTACTTAGTCAGTTCCAAAGTAGAACTTACAGTTGAATAAACAAATATTTAAGGCATAGAATCATTCCTCTACAGTTTTATTCTTGATTTCATAAAATGCACTGTTCCCATGAATTCCTTAGCTTTGGAATCAACCACTTAAATACATGGAGGAAAAAAAAAAACAATAAATTTTGTATAGATGCCAAAACTGTAAACTCTAAGAGCTAGAGATTTTTTTACTGGTTCTTCAAAAATGTTGCCCCAAGAAAGTTAGAGTGCAAATTTATTGCATGTATAAAGTCAAAAGATTTGAAATATTTTTATATAAATTTTAATACCTTTGATCACTATCCTAGCTTTTCATAAACACAATAGAGAATTATATTATAGAATCACATAAACAAAAATTTACTATAGTCAATGCTTTGAAAACATACAAATAAGAGCACTTAATTTTTTAAAATCACTTTTAAAATTTTAAAAAATGACACTTAAGGTAAAGTGCTATTCCAAAACAAGTATTTCATTTTAACTTTAAATTTTTACAGATATACTCAAAATGTTTTGAAAGTCGCAAATAACAAAGTAAATAGATACAAAACGAAAGCCCCAGATTGAATAAAGACAGAACATTTAAATTTCTCTGTTAAAATCTACAATGAAGTAGTATAATTTTCTCCATCGAATCAAGCCATTATCTCATTATGAAAGCAATATAGCAACACAAACATGCCGCGGTTCAAGCAAGGACTCAGCCATCCCCTGACTTTCCTCAATGCTTTGTTATTTCTCCCAGCACCATGTCTGGCAAAATTCACTCTGAGGCCTCTTGGGGGCAATAGGTTAAATGGCCTTGAGATCAAAATGTTTTCTTGTGACTTGTATTTAAACTCTTGAACAATTAAAAATCCCCTTTTAATAATTACATAACTTGTCCTTCTTTGCAGATGGAACATGATGGAGGACTCAGGACTCTTCGTTCTGTGGATCTGAAACAGCTGGAGATAAACAGAGAATGCCACCCTTCCTCTCTTCAACCCTTGTCCTCTTCTCCAATCTGAAAATTCAGGAGAGTCAGGCTTTTGAGAATGAGCAGATGATTCTAAGCCAGTGAGTCGGATTTACAGTTATTATCCAACAAGAAACACTGAATGCCATTTTTAGACCATCTGTACGATAGGAAAAAACCGCAAGCCCTCTTCTGGACAACGACGAATCTAATAATGACTGCTTTGCAGAGAAAACTCCTCGCACCAGATACCTGCTGACTTGAGAATTCAATTACTGCTCAGTTGGAATACAGTCAACATTTTTCTAGTCCTAACAGGAATGTGTCTACAATTCAAATCAAAACTTTTTTTTTTTTTTTTGAAGAAGGTGGGGATTCCTGGTCTGTGAAAAGATGGAGCAGTTGCCCCATCCCTTGAATGGGTTGTGCTAGTGACAGAGGGGAGTGTCAGGGACACAGTCTGACCAAGAGAGCTTCCTGTTCAACAAAACAATTTCAAACTATTACTACTAGCCACCCTCTAACATTCAATCCAACCATGGTGTTTCATGATTGTTCAGACTCTGGAGTGATGTCTACACATTGGAAGAGTCACAAGTCGGCTGGGAAACTAAGAAAAGACAATCAGTTGTATATTAACCATTGCCTTCCAAAAAGTCTAAGATACTTCTTTGCCATCTAAAAATTGAGGCACTCTGCCCTCAGGCAATCTCTGCCTCTCCACTCTCTGCCAGTGCACCCCATGCTCACTCAGAATGAGAGGAAAGAGAGAGAGAGACTGGGACTTTGTGATGACAAAACTGCTACTCAGTGGCCCCTGCCCTAGAGTTACCCTTGCTAATTCCACCAACTACATGCTGACCTCTCTGGTGGAATTAAGTTGTGTACTGAGTATAAACCCCGAATGAGAAAATCCTAGGCTACTCCAGATTTCCTTGCTACGGGTTATTTCCCCCTTATAAATATGTTAGCCAAACAATATTCATGATTTTCCTGGGAGGTGATACATTGTCAAAATAAGACACTTCCAAACTCTGAGCAATCTGGTAGCCTCTGGTCCATCAGACTTGAAGATTCCCAGGGATAAGGCCACACTGGTCACGTGAGGTTGCAACCAGACACGGCGGTGGCCATGGATTCCTCGTCTTTCTGATCTAACTCCTTTGCTACAGAGTAGGCCACTGATCCGTTTGTCCATAGCTGCCGCTTGGGATCTGATTCTTTGGCCAGGAATGGCAGCTGTGTTCTCTTCATCCTCTTTACAATTCTGGCGAAGCCAAGCAGTACAGAACTAAATATCATGGCAAATCCGCATAGAAGGAATGCTGCGGTATAGCTGCCTGTCGTATCCACCAGCCATCCTACAACAAAGGCAAAACCACACTGCTGAACTAAAAAATTCAGTTACCAGACTAACCCACTCCCAAATCTAACCATTTCTCAGAATAATCAAAACAGACCACGGCATATCATCCTAACTTCAAACAAAAAGCAGATGGCCTAAAATAGTCATGCAGCAACTGAGAAATACGTGAATTAATGATTGCTGTTAAGTGAGGGACTTCGAATAATCTCTGTATTTGGTAATCACCCAATAAATATTAGTGATCATCAACTCAATGGTTTTAAAAGGATTCAAATTTGTATTTCATAGTCTGTAACTTTAAATATCATTTGAATAATTGAAGTTGGGGTCACTTACATAGGGGGTTAAGTGGACTTGCAAAATGCTAATAGGACTCCCAGAACCCACACGCTGCTTTAATTAACCTAATGGGCTTCAATACCGTACACAGCTGTCAATGGAAGACTAATTTTACTTATACCTCATTTGAAAACCAGGACTTTGCTCCACTCCTTTTTGGCCCTTTGGCTAAGGTCATGTGCGTGCAGAACCTGGTGGTGTGCGCTGCTGGAAATGTACAAACCTGAGGCCATACACCTAAAATCACGTATTGGAGCATCTATAAATTTTTCCTCAGAACATCATTCATATGCCAAAAAAAAAAAAAAAAAATCCACCAGGAAAGCATACAGTTTCTCTATTCACCTACTTCAAATCCAATTGCCAAAATGGAGTGTAAAAATTAATTCACAATCTACAAAGTTTCCCACGATCCATAATCCCTGCACATGTTTTTGTGATGGTCTGATTTACATGTGCATTTCTGTAGGACCAAAGTAGTTAGTTTGCATTAAAATGGAATTGTGATTTCTTGTCATAAATCACTAGTCCACATTTTCTAAAGTATACTTTAGTCATTGTTCATTTGCAGAGAAACCTGCATGTTAGCAACACCTAGTACATACAAATGGTAAAAAACAAAAACAAAAACAAAACAAAAAACAAAAAAAACCAGAGTGCTGTCCTGTACCCGGCTCTCAGAACTACACCATCACATCATCACTCCTCCTTTTGCCCTCACTCCCCACTGCTCCATTTTGGAAGCAAACTTCCTTCTGAATGTTCTCCACTTACTTAGAATTGGAACAAATGTTCTATTCTTTTACTTCTATCAGTAGTAGTTTGAACTGGAACCAAGACCCCAATTTGGGAGTTTCTCTTTCCAAGCTAGCTACTATCCTTACTTGGTTGAGAAAAGATTATAGAAGAAGAATGTGGGTAGGGCCATGATACTTGGGTGACTCTTGCATTCCTATTATCTTTCACTCTTTCCTAACTCACTTGATAAGCTTTTTCTCGTCTTTGGCACATGAGTTGTATCCCTAGGTGTGTGTTCAGTTCTTCCACACCAATAGGATGACAGTGGCTATCAGACTTTGAACACTTACCTGCGATGGGTGGGCTCACCAAGTATGGCACTGCATGAAGGAAGTATACCACGCCGAGTGCTGATGACAGGGAGGTGGTCCCTACTATCTCTGCGGTCACTACTGGGATCAAGGTAACATAGGCACCATCAAAGTAGCCAAAAGTACAAGAGAAAGGCACAAGAAGGGGGAAACTTCGAAGCATTGGGAGACACAGATAGCACAGCCCATCTAGTGCCACAGCAAAGAGGTAGCAAATATACCGGTAATTCTTCAGACACCTACGGATGTGAAGAACAATAATGAGGGTGAGGCACACAGACTCCATAGGAGAAATTTTTAGCCAAGCCATGCAGCTGTTTATACGGGTGACTTCCTATTTGTTGGAAGTCAGGAGAAGGGATTGAAGTCCCCGGAGCTAGAGTTAAAAGTAGTTGTAAACTGCTCAGTGTGGGTGCTAGGAACTAAACTCCAGTTCTCTGCAAAAGAAGCAAGTACTTCACTGCTAGGCCATTTCTCCAGCTCCTGCTATCCTCTGATTGTTCTACTGGCATAAGTAAATGAATTTGTGTCTCTAGGAAGCATAGCGTGATATTGCTTTATACGTGTACAAGGTTGCAAGCTCATGACCTGCATAACTCTAATCTAAAATTCTTTCATCATAAAATGAGATTATCTACCTCAGTATATGTAAAGCTGGTTGCAAAATAATACACAGCCTGCCAAGAGGCTACAATTTTCTAGGCATCTACCATATTAGGTGCTTTGAGCTACGGCAGTCATTGGCACTGAGCACATCACACATGCTTGACAACCCAAGTCCTCATGTCTTGCTGAGACGAGTGGTGAAGGTCTGACCTAGGACTAAATGCTCCATCCAGACTTTCCCAATGGTCTTCCACTACATCCCTTCTCTGTGATTCCATCTCCATCCATGATACCAGTTATCTGAAAGACTGACTGATGCCAGCTCTGTCAATATGTGAATGTTTTCTTTCATTATCCTCCAAATTGTGCACCAACCTCTTTGGCAGATGGAGGTCCTTGAAAAGTTCAGCATTGGGTGACTTTCCCTGGGTCATGGGTTTTCAAGGGGAAGAACTGGCACAAGAACTTAGACCTTGTGCCCAGCCAGCCACACCTCCTTCGACTTACATGTTGCTCCTTCCTGAGTCATCACTGTGCATGGGCATCGCCCTTCTTCCTTCCTTCCTTTGTCCTTCGTTTAAAATGTGGAGGTGCCAGGGCATGGCTCAGTGACCATGTCCAGCACAGGAGGTGCTGGTTTTATAACCAGCCAAGCACAAAAGAAAACAAGTGGAACCTGTCCTCAATATTGTATTATTGGTGCCAGGGAATGACTGGGTAACTACCAAAGTGTAATTTGTGAGAAGCCGTGAGCTCCCTGAGCTCAAAACTCAGATATAAGTAATTCCTCACCTAGGACACCATTAGAACTCTGCAGTCTTCCAGTGAGTCAAGTTATTGATTATTTGCTGTAAAGGTCCTATAAACTCAGGCTCTAAGCTTGTGATATCATGAAAGTATTTTCCCACATTCCGATCTAAGTATGTGCTTAATGACGATGTGTGTTATTTTACCTGAACCTCCTACCTGGACTAGGTTCGGCTCCTCTTTCTGCTACTAGCTATTCCCTGCGATGATTCAAAACTGGTTAAAACCACAGCAGACAGGTAGCAGTTGTCTCAAGGACTAACGTGCATTGGGCTAAGATCAGATCTGTCACTGGAACTTTTAGTTGTCCTTACCCTGTTTAGACTTGCCAACCCAGACAATCTAGAATGAGAGTAGACAAATTAGGATCACATCTAGCTTGTTATCTGTGTAATTTACCTGGCTTTGTTGTTGTTGTTTTGGTTGGTTGGTTTTGTTTGTTTTCAAATGGTTGGAAATAGTAAAGAAAAACAACATTGGGTGAAATATGGAAATTGACATTTCAGTGTGCATTGATAGTCACCAGAACACAGCTGCTTTTGTGCTCTGATGGCAGTCCTGGGGAGTAATGACAAATACGTGTATGTTCTACAAAGTCAAACGATGTCTACTCTACGTCCACTTACATAAAAAGTTTGTCAACATCTGATCTATAAGGGTCAGCAAGAAAGCTCCTCCAGATAGCAAAACTAGCCTCCAGGTGGTGGTGGTGGGGGGGGGTTAGAGTCCCCTAGGGGAAACCAGTGGTGTTTTTCACAGATTTTTACCTTCGGTCAGTTAGCCATCCAAATGTGATGTTGCCAACAATGTCAATCACACCGAGTATGGACATAAGGAAAGCAGCTTGGTGGTGGCTCACTCCGACACTCAAAGCATAAGGCACCAGGTACACGAAGAGAGGGCTGCAGCCGTAAGCCATGAACAGAACAGAGACAGCTAACACGACGAAGTCTGACATCAGCAAAAAACCATATTCCTGCTGCAAAGAGCAGCAAAAGCGGGTCTCTGTCCATTCTTTGGTCAACGGTGAGTAGGGAGATGCCTGCTTACAGTCTTCTCTCGGAGTTCCGTGGTCGTGATTCTTCTCTGGACACGAACGGTCCTCTCTGAGAGTAATCGGACGCATCAGAGCACCACAGACACAGAGGTTCAGAACGAAGCCTCCGAGAATGAGCAGGGCTCCTCGCCAGGAGAACTGTTCAATCAGGAGCTGAACCACAGGAGCCAGGATGAAGGTACCGATGCCGCTTCCGGACAAGGCAATCCCGTAAGCGAGGGCTTTCCGCCTGCTGAAATACTTGCCCACCATGGCAATTGCCGGAGAGTAGCAAAGTGCAAACCCAAGACCTCGGGAGACAGAGAACGCCATGAGTACTGGCTCACAGCGAGCGGCCAGTGGGGAGAATGGTCTGGGAACAGGATGACCGGGACGGGAGAGAATCAGCTCTTTAAGGAGATCCCTTTAGAGCAGCTTGGGTACCCAGCTGAAAAATTAGTCTTCCTGACATTCATCCATACCATGCAAAATACAGGACTTATGTGAATTTCTTCTTAGGAAGAATACACTAGAAGCAATGATTTCTCAAAGAAAAGTAAATGAAGAACTTGGGGAAAAAAGTCACTATTCATGCGAAGACAGAATTTACCAGCAAAATGCTGAATCAAGAAACTGATCCTGCCTCTCTCTCTTTTCCCCACATCCTCTCTGCCTTCCTCCTCTGTCTGTTTTGGTAGGCAAATTTGCTGAATAATTGCCTCCTCTCTTCCCTGCCTGGGAAGACATACCCTTAGGTGATCTGTGCCACTCTGGGTTTGTACAGAAATAGTATATATGAGTTCAGGAAAGTTGCAGAACTATTTCATTTAGGCAGGAAGCATCATAGAATAGGGAATATTATGTAAGAATAAGGAACCTGGAAATATCCCTCAGGGCCTTCAAGGAAAAACAAAACAAAACAAAACCCTGATAGAACTGAGCGTGTTTTAAAAGCTTTTTGGCTTTTACTGCCTCAGCTTAACTTAGAAAATCTAAAGGGATTCACACCTAGGTTTCAGAACTTGTGGGTTATTTACCCCAAATGCACCTAAAGGTAGAGATGAAATAATACATGGCATTTCAAAAGACTGATAGATAGTGCCAGGGAAGAGAAAAGAAAACCACTTTCAGTGACCATTCCTGTCTGCAGTACAGGTTGTCAACAGATTTGAGTTTTCAGATGTGGGATTTTCAGTGCTGAAACCCGACCAGTTCTGAGCGAACTGAGCAGTCAGGCCCTATGAGTTTCTCGGAGTAGATCCAGATGCACAGCCTTATCATGAGGTTACACTCATCCCTGGCCTAATTCACACTTCACTCACAGCGCAGTACCCAGGCAGGGGAGGGTACCACTTTCCACGTCCGTATCTGCGATGAAAAGAACGCCCCTCGTATCCCGCCAGCCAACCTCATCATGCCCCATGCAGTCCCCTTAAGTTTGTGGAAAGTACATGTTCTTCTCTTTCCATAAACATCCGTCATCATTTTCTAAAGTGATGTTTCTATAACACTGAGAAATAATGTGAAATATAAGAATATCTGAGGCAAGGTGCTCTCTTTTTCCAAATTGAAACTCCCATTCAATGGATTACTCATAATAAAGCCAAGACAACTTGGGCTGAACACAGTGTTTGTTGTCTTAGCAAAGGCAGATGGAGAATGACCACTGTTGAAAATTTGTGTTGTGCTTAGTAATTTATCATTTCTTCTGAGTGCAGAATCTTGGACATATACTGCCAGAGAGAAAAGCTAAATTAATGTGGTGAGGCTCAGTCGGGTAAGAAAATCGTATTTCTGACTCTGTGTAATTGCTAAGTAGGTAGCCATAGACTAAGTCAGCTGCATCATGCACCTACAAAAAAGAAAAAAAGTGAGCATTTTATAAATCTCTGTTGTGTTTAGGTGCTTGACACACCCGAACAAGGTGGAAGCAGACACGTGGAAGGAAGTGTACCTACCTGTAAGGACTCCCAGAGTGAGGTAGAGGTGCCTCAGGCTCGTGGCAAAGGAGCTCAGGATGAAGCCAGTAGATGCCAGCAAGCCGCCGAGCATGATTCCCACTTGACAGGATAAGTGGTTACTGACAACACTCCCAAGCGGAGCTTTGGAAACAACAAAGGGGTCAACAGAAAGAAAGGTTTTGGGGGTACCTTGAAGACACTGTGGTGTCGCACTGACAGAGAAGAGAACCATCCACCTTTTAAACGTCAGGCCCACCCCTTAGCTTTGGAAACTGAGACCCAAGGAAAAGTGACCCTTGTTACTTACACTAAAAAAGAGCCGGGCAGAGACAGAGCTTAAACGTCCTGACTTAAATTCAGAATCCTATGACATTCTCTTACAGTCATGCATTCAGGTCTAGAGTAGGATCATTCTGTTCTATTTTTCTGTGCACAAGTGTTTGCCCGCAAGCATTCCCGTACATAATGTACACACCTGGCACCAGTGGGGATCAAAAGGTTGGGGGATCCCCTGGAACTAGATTTACAGAGCATTGTGAGTTGCCATGGGGATGCGTGGAACTGAAGCCAAGTCTTTTCAACTTCTCCTACATGCTCCTAGCTGCTGAGCCATCCAGACCAAGGGTGTTTTTCACACAGGGGTCGATTATTTATCTAAACTGCATGTCACTTGCTCAAGGGTGCTGTATACAGCACAACAGTAATGATGACAGTTACTTGAGTGAATTTTTATTTTGAAAGGGAAAAAGAATGGTATTACCAGTACTCCTAGGAAAAAGTATTGGAAAAGCTCTTTCTCTGATATCCGTTTAATATGACCAGTGCCGTACTGATCAAGTTAAAATTAGGGAGTCACTCCTGATAGGCTCAGTTACCGGGCCAGCATCTCCTACCCAGTTAAAGCCATGGCTGTCAGTAAAAAAACTCTGGGAGAACTGGAATGAGCAAGTCTCTAGAGACTATGCTGAATTCTCAGAGGTTGCTCCTGTGGTTACTAGAAAGCAAAAGCACCTGAGTCGTCTAAACGAAACTTGCTGAGGAAGTTACACCAGCTGCAGGAAGCTGTACCTGTCCTGCTCCTCACATGGCAGATTTTCTTCAGGGAGAGTCCCCGTGCAGCTGTGCAGTGTCTTATTCATGCTCTAAGTTCTCACAGCATATGACGTGGTAAGTAGGTGAATGCATGTCAACGAGTAGGAGCCACGGCCATTCACAGAACAAGAATCCACAGTGTTTGACCCTGCCCGGGGCCTATGCCATCTTATGACCACATTTTTTTTTTTTTTTTTTTTTTTTTTTTTTGCTCTGTGGAGAATCACAAATATTCCCCAGAATGTAACACTGAGGGAAATGAGTCCTGCATAGTCTCTGAGGCCTGCCAATATGAACTCTGTGGCTAACAACATGATCCTGAAAATACAGTGCTACCTCAAAGGGAAAAAAGATGGGCCGCATATGGAAGATGAATGTTTGACTTTGTTAATCCTTATCAGCTGAAAGAGTAAACTCAGTCTGTTCTAAAAACTCCCAGTCTATCCTAGAGCCAAAGAAAAAGCCTTCAACACAATTTCATCGGTTCCTAAATATAGACATTTTAAAATAATGTTATTTTGCTTAATTGAAACTATTAAAAGTAAAGAAAAAATTAACAAAATTCAATATATTAACAGTAAATACATATGAGTCAATACCTAGAATGGAGTCAGATTAATTTATCATGAGTTACTGATTAATACAGTACTTCCCTTTTGCCACTGAAACAGATAAAAATTTTAGATTCATTTATTTTATATTATGTGTATGGCTGTTTATATATGTGGCTAGTTCCAATGGTGATCAGAAGAGGGCATCAGATCCCCTGGACCTGGTGTTCTAATTGTTTGGTTGGCTGCCATGTGGGTCCTGGGAATTGAACCCTTGTTGTCTGCAAGAGCAGCAAATGCATTGAGTATCTCTCCAGCACCAGATAAAAATTTCTCAAGAGATAAAATTTTCTAAACCATCCTAGGATTTATCTTAATGAAAAGATTGAGTGGGTCCAGATTAGAAATGGATTGTTCCAATCTGTGGCAGCCTCAGAAACTCACTAGGAAACCAAGCTGGTAATTTTGGTTCAAAATTTTAATAAAAAGAAGAGTTTATCACCCTCTTCTACAGGTGCAATGTTAGTTCTCATGAAATTTAGAACACTATCCAGGTCAAAGGGAGACCATTTGAGATTTTACAAATGAAATTGTAAGCACAGTGAGTGTGCTTAGCTCTTGATTACACACTATTATTTTTCCCCAATATTTCTCTTATTCATGAAAGGATTAACTCTCTGAATTGAATTTGGAACCTTCTGGTGAAGGAGCAGAAAGAAAGCCAAGACTTGAAATAAGACACATCACTGTTGTCACTTATTTAAGAAGGCTGTATAGAAACGGCTCGTGGACTATTTGTAGCCATACCATCCTGAAAGTACCTGATCTCGTTGAATCTTGGAAGCTTAAGCAATGCTGGTCTCAGTATTTTTGTTTGGAAAATGTCTTACTGTCCAATGTATGCTTGTGTGACTGGAGAATGAGAAGGTAATGAAATCTGGAGACATGCCATTTATACTCTGCCCAGAAATTCCTCCCCAGATCATCACAAGTTCTAAGATACTCAGCATCCAGATGAACCCGATGATTTGTGTCCCTCCCAATGTATTGATGAACTCCCCCATTAGGCATTAGTCAAGCCCATCAATTCCAAATTAAACCTTGTTAGGTTCAGCTAAAGATGAGATTGATCTTCTACCTCTTTGGTCTTACCCAACTTATAACATAGTCCACTTAGAAAATTAATAGTGAAACCAATGTCACTTGACTCTGTCAAAGGTCATTGTCATGTTCAGTTCCATAATTTCCAGTAATTGTTCATTATGATAAATATAAATTACACTCACCACAGAGCATTGTCATACAGTCTACAATGGAATGGATCCATGCTGTTTGTGAATAATCCTGAGCAAAGTACGTCTGAAACTCCACAAAAAATATGGAGATACATCTGAAAAATACAATGCAGGCATTTTATACAAAAGATAAATAAATATGGAACTGAAGCAGAACCTAAAAGTTTTGTTTCAATTAGTTGTTAAGTTTCAAAGGATTTTAATTACTGAGACATGATCAGTAGGAAACCAGAAGTTGACCACTGGGGCCATTCTGAGGAACCAGACAACATGTATCAGAGAGCCTGCTAAGACCATGAAAATGGGAAGATTCTTTCCCAACCTGTAGGCTGTTGTTTTATATTTGATGGCAGTGTTCTTTTCTTTACAGAAGATTTTCATTTTCATGAGGTCCCATTTATTGATTGTTGCTCTTAGAGCCTGTGCTGTTGGTGTTCTGTTCAGGAAGTTGTCTCCTGTACCAATGAGTTCTAGGGTATTCCCCACTTTTTCTTCTAACCAATTTAATGTGTCTGGTTTTATGTTGAGGTCTTTGATCCACTTGGACTTTAGCAGGGTGATAAGTATGGATCTATTTGCATTTTTCTACATGTAGATATCCAGTTAGACCAGCGCCATTTGTTGAAGATGCTATCTTTTTTCCACTGTATGGTTTTGGCATCTTTGTCAAAGATCAGGTGTCCGTAAGTGTGTGGGTTTATTTCTGGATCCTCTGTTCGGTTCCATTGATCCACCATTCTGTTTCTATGCCAGTACCATGCAGTTCTTATTACTGTTGCTCTATAGTACAGTTTAAGATCAGGGCTGGAGATACCTCCAGAAGATCTTTTATTGTAGAGGATTGTTTTAGCAAATCTGGGTTTCTTGTTATTCCATATGAAGTTGAGAATTTTTCTTTCAAGTCTGTCAAGAATTGTGTTGGTAATTTGATGGAAATCGCATTGAATCTGTAGATTGTTTTTGGTAAGATGGCCATTTTTACTATGTTAATCCTGCCAAGCCATGAGCATGGGGGATCTTTTCATCTTCTAATTATATCTTCTAATTCTTTCTTCAGAGACTTGAAATTTTTTTCATACAAGTCTTTGTCTTGCTTGGTTAGGGTTACACCAAGGTACTTTATGTCATTTGTGGCTATTGTGAAGGGTGTTGTTTTTCTAATTTCTTTCTCAGCCCTTTTGTGTTTTGTATACAGGAGGGCTACTGATTTTTTTTTGAGTTAATTTTGTATCCGGCTACTTTGCTGAAGGTGTTTATCAGCTGTAGGAGTTCCCTGGTAGAATTTTGGGGGTCACTCATGTATATTATCATATCATCTGCAAATACTGATACTTTGACTTCTTCCTTTCCAATTTGTATCCCCTTGATCTCTTTCAATGAGACAGAAGTTTTATGTGAACACAGGATATGTATGTCTGTTACTCTTTGCGGCTCCATTTTCAGGGAGTGGTGGGGATGTCTCATGAACACAGAATTCTGGTTGGCCTATAGTCCAAGAGAACTTAGTAAGATGCAAAGCTAAAACATGAATACTTTGCATCCATGATAGTGATTACATGGGAACCAAGAGGAAAGACCAAACAGCCCAAGAGAGGCCATGCTTTCTTTCTACACAAAAATTAAAAAAAACAAAAAAACAAAACAGAAAGAGGCAAAGGGACCCTAAAACTGACAATTCCAATCACCTATGGTGAAAATGGTGACACAGAGAAAGAGGACAAGAGGGTTACTCCTACTTCTGCTCCCTTTCAGAGTGTGCTTAATGAGCAAACATGAGGACCCAAGTTCAGATCCCCAGCACCCATGTAAAAACTCAGTGTGGCATAATATGCTTTTAACACCAGTGATAGGGAGATAAAGCCAGGCAGATCCCAGGGCCCTCTCTGTGCCTAAATGTGTTAGTAGATCACACACAAAAGCACAGCTGTATATAATACACATACAAATATAAAGAGATAGATGATAGATAGGTATATATATGAAAAGAGAATAGAAAGTAGAGAAAATGAGAATGATCCGCAAAACTCAAATGAAAATAGTGGTGATAGTCATATCCAGCATTTCCACTGTTCTGTTGAAAATCAAATTCACATGCGTATGCAAGCTATAAGCCATGAGCTATACAGGTTCAATGGTTCTATACTTAAGTCAATGCTCACATTTGTATTTAAAATTGGCATTCTATAGCATAGATTATCAGTAATTTCATAATATTAATTTAACATTCCCATTTTTATTTTTGGTTAAATAGCACTAAATGCCAAAGGAACACCATAAAGACTTGAGAGAGACTAGTCAAGAAAGAAAAATAATTTCCCATTATAGTTTGACAATGCTCCCCACCTCTTTTCTTTTTTAAACCAAAAGTTTTGCATTTTTGTTTTGTGTTGAGCTCTTTGCCAATCCTGGTGTCAGAAAGCAGAAATGGAAATTTTATAGGTAGCTAAATAGTCAACCCACAAGCAATGGTGTGGAATCTGGTGTTTGTGTTATAAAACAGAGGTAAATGCCTGGAGAAGGGATGGAAAAAAAAAAAAAAACAACCCACAAGATTAGCAAAGAGAGTGGTCAAACTGTGCTATAACCTAAGGCTTCCTTCCTCATCTAGGCCAGAAGAAATAGCCTGCCCTGTCTCCACCAATCATCGGAGATGATGCTCCCTGGAGGACAGGCAGCTTCCTACAGGTGATGGAGGGGGTTGCTCTGATGGCTACAGCTGTGTGCTTCTGTCTGTGCACTATTCAGCTGAGACCATGCTAATGACACATCTCTGTGTTGTCCACAGTTCTGTGCTTCTCCACAGTGTAGGCTGGCAGAATTGCTTCAGTCAAAAAGATATGAAAAGTGCTCTTTCTCCACCCACTGATGTGAGAATCCAGACAACACTTTGCAATAGATCTGATGCAAAGTCAATAATCATGTCACAGGCTGGCGAACTGAAATGCATGTAGGCTCCCTCGACAGCACAGACAGTGAGCATAAACCACCCAGACAACTGTATGACTTTAATTTGAATTAAAATGCTTAAGAAGTTCTTAAAAACATGAATTAATTGCAACTCCGTTACGCCAGTTTAATTCAGAGCAACAAGAAAAACAAGAACCTTCAATCCAGTACAAGAGCCCATCTTCTGATCCTGCTTCCTTCCCCGGATATGGATAGCAAGAACACTCACTAATAAATATCTGCAAAAGAGGCTATCAGCAGAGCAAACAGAGAGCACAGAAAATGGGAGAGAAATTCTCACCAGCCATACTTCAGGCACAGGGCTAATAAGAGTGTGTGAAGAACTGCAGGGGAAAAAAAAAAGTACAAAGTGCTAATCAGCAAATGAACCCAGAAGATGAGAAGTTTTCAAATGAAGAGACCCAGATGGCCAATAAGTATTTTTTTGGGAAGAGTTCAACATCCCTAGTCATCAGGAAAGTGCAAGTCAAAACTTCTTTGCAATGACTGCTTATCTTAGACAGCAATCTGACAAGCATCTGCAAGACTGTAGATAAAGAGGAATGCTTGTTCACTGCCAGTGGGAGTGTAAACTAGTATAACCATTGTGAGAATTAGTAGGACAATTCCTCATATGAGCCAGCTATACTATACCTGTGCATACAACCACGCCCAAACGCCATGGCCTAGCATAGAGATACCTTCACAAGCACTTTCATAGCTGCTGTACACACAATAGCAAGGAAAAGGAACCAATGAGTGAATGATGAAAATGTGGCACACATACCCATTGGAATTTCAGCTATGAAGAAATAGGAAACTTGCAGGAAGTGAATGGATCTGGAAAAGTATGTTAAGCAAGGTGACCCAAACTCAGAAAGTCAAATGCCACCAACTTCTGCACCAAATGTCCCCAGACCTTGTCAATAAACCTTGGAAACCAATATGAGCCTGGCTGATGACAAGTGATCTAATCATCAAGTCTTCCAATCCCTCTCCAGAGCATTCAGATTCCTCTGTGGGTCTCACTCCCCCTTAGTGTTTGTTCAGATTGACTCTAGCACCTTTCCCCTGAACTGTAGCTCACAGCTCCTAAGTGATGTTTCTGAATTCACACTTGGCTGGCTTTAGTACATTCTGCAAACAGTGTTCAGAGTGACCTTCCTAGAATACAAATTGGATCCTGGCATTTCAAACATTTTAGCCTGACTTATGAGGCTGTATGAGCTGGCCTTTGTTTGTCTGTGTTCCTTTTTTCCTTTCTGTTGGATATTTCACTTCAGCCATACTGAACATAGGTCTACCTCTTTTAACATGCTCCCTGTGTTTTACATACTTCTAAACATTCATTATTGTTTTTTTTCTATGACTTGGGTAAAATTATAGCGTTGTTTGTAACAGCAGAAGCAAGAAAACAATATAAAATCCCATCAACAAAATGTAGACACAAGCATGTAATAAAATTTTAAGCAGCTATTTTTCAATGAGATAGAATTGTGTTTGTTGATATAGTACAATCTCAGGAGAAATTATTAAGGAGGTGAGGTTCAGAACAGTGTATTCAAAATGTCTTGCTTATGTAATTAACAGCAATGTACGTTTGTGTTAGCTCAAGGCTGAGGGAGCTTTTGTTTTAATTTTGAGACTGAACTTTAAAAAATATTGTTAAGATTAATTTTTAGGCAGTAGAATTAAGTCAGAAAGTAAGAAAGGAAAATATTTTCAACATGTTTGAATTTTATCATCGGAATACAAGATATTTTGCCTGAAAGTTTATTTTTAAATAGAAAGCAAGAAGTGGCTGTCCTGTAGATGCTGATTATCTATTAGGCAGATAGCCTTGGCTTGCTTTTCATGTTCTCATCTCCAATTCTCTTGGCCGCTTCTTGGTTTGTGACATTTAGATTCCTGGGCTGGCTGAATCACCACACTTCCTCATCTGCCTTTATTCTGCTCAAGTATTCTTCTCTTGGCCTCTTCTGTTGACCTCTTTCTGGTACTCGGCCTTGGCCGCCAGCCACTACCTTCTTTTCTGATTTTTGACTGAATGTTTGGCAGTGAAGAGTGGTGAGTGTTAGTATTTATATAAAAATGCCATGCACACAACAGATCTTATATTTGAAAGAGTTTATTTGGGGGAAGGGAAGCAGAAGAGAGTTAGGGCCTGAGTGAGCCATAAGGGGAGTGAAAGAGAGAGAAATGGGGAGGGTACTACCCAACAGAGAAAGAAGAGAGCAAGAGAGAGAGGGGAGATGGCCAGTTGGTTCTTTTATAGCTTGTGTCTGCCAGGTGCATCTGCCACATACATAGCAGGTGACACATGATGACATCATAGGTTACTAGGCAACCCAGAAGCAGGCTGCCTAAATGCTAACAGTGAGGAAGGGCAGACACTGATGCAGGCTGAGATATATTTCTCCTTCATTTCTGTCAGTACAAATTATTTCTATCCTTTAAGATTTCACTCCAAGGACTTCTCTAGAAAATCTACCCTGAATCTCCAGGCCTGACTTTGTCTCTCTGCTAATCTTACTTTAATTCTGTATTAACCAAAGTTAACATAACTTCTTGATGACCTACATCAGGAGTTTGGAAGACCATCCATAAATGGGTGGTTTGTCTTAGGATGTTGAATCCCTTGACTATCACCAAAAGTCATCAAGCATAATATAACTTTGGTCAATACAGGTATTCTTATTTGTATTTCAGTTAATTGTGCATGAATCTACCATAAGAAACCCAATCTATCCATGGTTTTATAAGCTGCTAGTGCAAAGTCATGTCTTCAATGAATGTGAGATAGACATCAGTGGAACTGATTTTAAATGAATTAAAATTGAAACTTAAAAGTAAAACCTACAAAAGATAAAAGACTTTCAACTTTTGGTGGTATTCAATGGATTCAACACCCTACTAATTATGACAAGCCATCCATTGATTGATGGTCTTTCAGACTCCTGAAGTAGATCATATATATATATGAACTTCTACTCCAAGCTCCTTTTGTAGTTCAAGAAAGTTCAGTGAATGCATACAGTCATTCATGTGGAGCTGTTTGTACAGGAATTGGTGTAATATCTCCTATGGCTGATTATCAACCAAACAAAGAGAGTAAAGACCATCTGTAAAACAAACTTAGAGAGATGCATCCCCTTGGTACCATGACTTATTATCATTGACATGACAGCTCCTCGGATCAGAGGTAACCACCTTCAGACAATACTTAGTAAGGCATTTTTAAAAACCTGTGTCTAATGCTACAGTGGCTCTTGATGACACTGCAGATATGCTAAAAAGTGTGCATGGTGATCAGAAATATAGTATATGTATGAAAATAGGATAAGAAGGTATTTAGTTATATTCTAGAAAGAGGAATAGTGAGTTCTGTGTGTGTGCGCGCACTTTAAGCATCTGTAGATGATGAATGTGTGCTGTAGCAAAAAGCAAGGTAAATTAAAACAAAAATTAAGTCGCTGTTCATCTCTTTCCTGGTAGCCATAGGAAGAGGTCACTCGGTCCTCTTATTAAGCGAGGATGAACATGCCCATTTCACCTAAATCACAAGTGCATACATGTGATTGACAGAAGTGTCTCAGTATTGCAACCAGGAGCTCCATGGACAACCTTGTGAATGCAGATTCATCCTGAAGACTCGACTGGGCAGAACGCTGCAGCATAAGCCCTCCGTATAATGCAATGAGCCTGCTTCCAGAACCTAACTCAGACAGAACTAATAGAACTTTTGTTTACAAGAAGCTACACAAACACACACACAAATGTCTTTTTAATTCCACCTGACACTCAGAATATTGAAGGAAGAAAACTCAGAATCAGCATCAAATTATTTTTTTTAAAAAATCCATAATTTATTAGGACAAACCTCAATGATGGCAAATATGAGGCCCCTTGCAGTATGTACACTAGTAGGCACGTTTCAATATCTTCTTCATTTATAATATCATCAAATAAAGTTTTTATCACAAATACTCTCTTGTTCTGTATAAAATGTATTGCCAGAGAAGAGAAACTTACTTCCCTTTGGACAAAAGTGAGGAAAGAGCAATCCTATGCATATCAGAAGCATTAATTCATAGATACATGAAATGAACTAGTTGAAGATTAAAGTATGTGGAGTACTGTGCCTCTGGAGGAAAATCAAACGAGAATGAAAGTGTCACTGTATAAAGTTGCCTTTCTTCAACCTAAAATCCAGCCACCATCACCACAGCCAAAATACAAGATGAAGAACATGAATTTGAATTCTAGTTTTGATGCCTGCAAGTCTCAATATTTAACAAAAAAAAAGGATTTTTTTTGAAGTTTCATAGTTTCCCTCCTGAGAGGGAATCTGTTTAGAAACAGAATCTAAACCTGTACAAGCTTGAGTTCAATTATGATCTGTTCACAAACCAATTGTAAACTTCGTAACCATACTTCAATCTTGGGAATATTTTTTCTTATTCCTATGTTGCAGGCTTGAAGATATATTGCACTCTATAGTCTTTTGACATTGTATTTTCTCATGTATGGGTTATGAATCACAAACTCAATTGCTTCCATTACAACATCTTAATGATCAATACTTATCCTAATTAAAATTTCTCATTAATATTTTATGTAAGAAAAACAGACTTATAAAGATCATCTTATACATTCCTAAGGCTAACTCAGCTTACGATTAACAATCTTTTGGGGTGTGCATTCAGCAATTCTTTAAGATCCCTAGAAAAGTAATTTTTTAAATGAAAATACCATAGGAAAACATTCCTCCTCTCATTAAAAAAATCAGAACAATTTCCATGTTATTTTATATAGAATGAGTTTATGTGTTTTGCATTAAAATAGGTGCACTATGGAGAGTGGGAAAAATATGTATCACACATTTCCACATTTTGTAGAGCTACACATGAAGACAAATGTCTGGATTAGATTTTGTTCAACATACACAAAAACTCCTAAGCGTCCTAACATAGATCAGATACTGGGGAAGAGAACACTCTTCAGGACTCTGTAGCATTGCCCTATCCTAACCTGCAAAGGAAAAGCTACATGAACAGCACAAAAAATGACATGAGGTCCTCCTTAACAAATGGCATGAAGTCGTCCTTAACAAACCAAGAAAGACCCACTTACCTGGTGACTGCCCTGGTGCAGATGGTAACAAGAAAACAGCCAGCCACAATCATCCAGCCCCAGCCTCCATCAGGAGGGGATGCCGAACCAGCTCTGGCTATCTTCGCCATGCTGCCAATTCTGGATTTCTTCTTTTTCGAGGTTACTTCAGCAGTAGTAAGTTATGATCTTGAATATTTGCTACCAGCCACTTCCTGTTGATATTCAAAGTTGGTACAGGATGCTACCTGGCGCAGGGGTTACTGGCCATCTAAAATGAAAACAAGGACATGCTTTTATTCCATTGCCTTGTCCAAAGGTGTATTTTCACTAGGTAAGAAATTATTGGTCTCCAATTAATATGATTATTTATAACTATGAACACCGGGTCACGGTATGGACCAAGAGTTATCCTGGTTTTTTTTTTTTTTAAAAAAAAAAAAAATCTTTGAATGTAAAAAGGTTTGTTCACCATCCTTGAAAAGTTACTATTCCTTCACAAAATTCTTTTTTTCTATTTTTCTTTCTTTTATATCAATTACAGTTTATTCACTTTGTATCCCAGCTGTAGCTCTCTCCCTCATTCCCTCCCAATCCCACTCTCCCTCCCTCATCTCCTCCCATGTCCCTCCCCAAGTCCACTGATAGGGGAGGTCCTCCTCTCCTTCCATCTGACCCTAGCCTATCAGGTCTCTTTAGGATTGGTTTGCATTGTCTTCCTTGTGGTGGTAAAGCTGCTCCCCCATCAGGGGGAGGTGATCCAAGAGCCAGCCACTGAGTTCATGTCAGAGACATGAACCCTCTTGGAGAACACACTTGGAGACTGAGCTGTCATGGGCTACATCTATGCAGGAGTTCTAGGTTATCTCCATGCATGGTCCTTTGTTCGAGTATCAGTCTCAGAAAAGACCCCTGTACCCAGATTTCTTGGTTCTGTTGCTCTCCTTATGGAGCTCCTGTCGCCTCCAGGCCTTTCTAAGCCCCCTTCTTTCATAAGATTCCCTGATTTCTGCTCATCAAAGCTGATGAGCCTCAGAATCTCCTTTGATACCCTGCTAGATAGAGTCTTTCAGAGGCCCTCTGTGGTAGGCTCCTGTCTTGTTCCCTCTTTTCTTCCTCTTCTGATGTCTGTCCCGTTTGCCTTTCTGAGTGAGGATTGATCATCTTTCCCAGGGTCCTTCTTGCTTAGCTTCTTTAGGTGTACAGATTTTAGTATGTTTATCCTATATCATATGTCTAATATCCACTCACATGGTATATAAGTGAGTATATACCATGTGTGTCTTTGTGCTTCTGGGATACTTCACTCAGGATGATCTTTTCTAGATCCCACTTTTGCCTGCAAATTTCATGATTTCCTTGCTTTTAATTGCTGAGTAGTATTCCATTGTGTAGATGTACCACAATTTCTCTATCCATTCCTCAGTTGAGGGGCATTTGGGTTGTTTCCAGGTTCTGGCTATTATGAATAAAGCTGCTATGAACATGGTTGAGCAACTAGAAGAAAAAGTAAGGAAGAGTCTTAAACTCACTGACACTGGAGACAACATCCTGAACAGAACACCAACAGCAACAATTAATTGTTGGTCTAAGATTAACAATTAATAATGAGACCTCATGAATCTGAAAAGCTTATGTAAAGCAAAGGACACTGTCATCAGAACAAAACAACAGCCTACAGACTGGGAAAGGATCTTCACCAACCCTATATCTGACAGGGGGCTAATATCCAGAATATATAAAGAACTCAAGATGTTAAAAAGCAACAAATCAAGTAATCCAATTAAAAAATGGGGAATAGAGCTAAACAGAGAATTCTCTATAGAGGGATATCAAATGGCAGGCAAGGAAACACTTAAAGAAATGTTCATTATCCTTAGTCATCAGAAAAATGCAAATCAAAACGACCCTGGGATTTCACCTTATACCCATCAGAATGGTTAAGATAAAAAACTCAAGGGATGATGCATGCTGGAGAGGATGTGGAGAAAGAGGAACCCTCCTCCATTGCTGGTGGGAATGTAAACTGGTACAACCACTTTGGAAATCAATCTGGTACTTTCTCAGACAATTAGGAATAGCGCTTCCTCAAGATCCAGCTATACCACTCCTAGGCATATATCCAAAAATATGCTCAAGTACACAACAAAGACATTTGCACAAAATTCTTAATAAAAAAAAAAAAGCCAAGGAAATTACAATAGTGGCTTATGCCAAACCAAAAATAAACATCTAATGTAATATAAACTTAAAAAAAAAGAAAGGCAATGTGTATATGGAGCACCTTTAAATTATTTCCACAACACACCTGCAACTTAAATTTTAAGACAGACATAAATAATAGCACAACCTAATGTATACTTATGTCTAAGTATTATATTTATTTCTATTATATTAGAAAAACATGACAAAACTACAGATGCCATTGTACAGCAATCATCAGTTTCCACAGACAGCTGGAATTTTAGGCTTTCTACCTGGACTTCCTTGTACGGTTGAAAACATTCACCATCACTGCTGAAGAGAAGGAAAAACAGTAAGGGGGAGACAACAGTATGCTTGCCAAAGTGACTCTCAGTCCTCAGCCAAACCAAGGAGTGAAGTTAAGAAGAGTTTCACAGCCCCAGCCTGTAGAACGGATTCAGACAAAGAAAACATGTATGTCACAGAACACAGTCGTAAATATGCTACCATATTAATTCCATCTCCACAAAGTGCCTGTACTACAAGGCAAAGCAAAGGGCAATACAGCCAAGGGGACCTTTCATATCAGAAATGATTTTATTTACTTTGGAATGCTTGTGTTTTCTTTTACTGTTTTCTTAAATCATTCACAGAATATGCTTTAGGTAAAAATTTTCAAAGATAAATTACCGAAAATAAAGAGTTTAAAAAGTGAGAGAAAAAACTTAAGATCATAATTTAAAGCCAATATAGTGGCATATAGAAGAAAGTTTTAAAAATTTAAATATATCTTTTAAAGTATTAGCTTTAATTACTACCAACTCAAAGTAGCCAAACTGAATGCTTTGTTAATCCTTTATTCATACTGAGTGAACATTGTATTGGGATATGTCTATATGATAGATGTGGAAAGAAACTCATACTTCAGCATGCAATGGGTCATAGTGACAGAGTAACAGGACATTATGTAGCATTTTCAATGCTTCTGATTTATTTTTTCCTTTTCCTTTTCTTTGTTTCTTTCTTTTTTTATGTGCAATATTGGGTATCGAACCCAGGGTACGATAGACAGGTACTTTACCACTGACCTACAGCTCTAGTCCTCACAGGCCCTAGTTTTTTAAATCTCTAATTGAGGAGTATTATTGCGTACTGCCCTACCTAGTCACACCCTCTAGCTACAGGACAAACGATGCAAAGCTCAACACAGTAAGTGACACACTACAGAGCTTCTGGTCTCTTCAAAAGATACCAACCCAGACGACAGGGAAAGAAAGTGTAGAGACAGGCTGACACGGGCTGTCAGGTAAGTAGGTGTGGAGCAGAGGGAACCCCACTCAGTTCCTTTCTTCACTCAACATTTCTCTAGTACTTAGCTTTGTGAACCAGCTTTGCCCTAACCCTTAGTAATCGCTCTCCTCATTTCCTCTTTCATTTTCTTTCTCCTTTTTCTATTCTCTTCTGTTCTAGTCTATTCCCTTAGAAACCTATCTGTTTTCTTTTTCTTTCTATTTATTCTTCTCATTACATTACATCCCAATCACAGTTTCCCTCATTTCTTTTTTCCCCTCTTTTTTTTTCTTTTCATTCTAACCTTAGCTGGTGCCACCTTATCTCCTTCCTTCTTTATTGCTCCCACATCTATTTACTTGTCTCTTTACTATTTTTCTCTATTGTTCTAATACTCATCACTAGTCTGAAGACTAAAGAAAGGATATTAATATTGAAAGCTGCAAGATAGTAGTATCTAGCCATAATCTAGCCAAAAATAAAGACAAACCCATCATAGTAACAACAGATGTATAACAACAAGAAGTTAGAAACCAGGAGGATATAGAATGATATATTTCTGGATTTTTCCAATCCATGGACTCTAGGATAGGCAGAAGCCCATCACAAAACTTTGTATTTAAAACATTATGAGTTTCTTCTTTGTGATTCTTTTCTTTTCCTTTTGAAGAAAGAAAAAAGTACACAGAAGATATTTACAATAGACACCAATAGAATTCAGGGGATAACTGGGACACAGTTTAAAAACCTATATTCAGTAAGTTGGAAAAATATAAGGGAAGTGACAATATTCCATATATTTCACATATAAACTACCAATATTAAACTAAAAGAATATGAGCAACTGAAACAGATAATTTATGAGCAACAATAAGGAGGAATGAAAGGATTCCAACTAAAGAAGCACAGGTGCAGATGAATTCACAGATGCGTTCTGTCAGAGCTCTATAGCACTAGCCATGTCCCTAAATCATTGCATAAAACAGAAAGGGAATGATGCTACCAAACTCTTTCATTAGTTTGGTATCCATACCATAAAGGACAAAACAGAAAGGAAATTATAAGCCCAACTCTCTGATACATATGGATGAAAACAGTCTCAATAAAATACTTTTAAGCTGAACTCAACCACACATTCTATCATTCAGCATACATACCAAGATGGCTTCATGCTAGAGAATGCAAGTGTGATTCAGCATATGGAAATCAATAAATGTAATATAGGCTGAGGGACACAAGTCATGTGGTGAAATGGCACTCGACGAAGTTAAACAACCCTTCATGATGAAATACTTGAAGATGGGAACATACATCAATCTAATAAAAGCTACAAAATACCAACCTTCAGCCAACATTATATGCATGAGGTGGGGGGGGTAACTCAAAGTATTTCACTTAGAATCACAAGACAAGGATGTGCACTTTTGCCACTTTTGTTCATAATGTTTGACACCTTGCCTAAAGCAATGAGACAAGAAGAAGGAAATAAAAGGATATAATCAGGAAAGAAAAAAGTCAATGCAGGTGATACTGTTCTTTCTATATGTGAGACTCTGAAGAGCCCTTTAGAAAATTTAGGGCAGATAAACATTTTCAGAAAAGTGGCAGGCTACAAAATTATCATACAAAAATCAGTAGCTAAAAGAAAACAATCAGCGGCTTCTTAGACAAGAGCAAACATGCTGAAAAGGAAATGAGGAAGATAATCCTAGTCCACAAATCCCTAAAAATACCTTGAAATAAAGCTAACAAAGGAAGTGGAGGACCTCTTCAATTAAAATTTTTAAAACACTGAAG